TCTAAATAGCTGGTTGAATTCTCATGTATTAGTCATAATTAGAGACCTAACAGTGTTTTAATTAAAAAAAATGCAAACAAGTGGTCTGATTTGGAGTAGTGCTGGGCACCTGCTACTCTCCATTACAGCTGGTCTATTACCACCTGTGCTGAATTGCTCTCATGAATTCATTAATTAATTCATTATGAGGAAGGCATGAGAGACTCAGTGAGGCTAAATTCTTCATTAACTTTACAGTTTGTCCAATGCTAGTGAAGTTAATTTGGGGTGTTAGTGGAGAAATTGCTCCCCAGTATATAGATATATACAATGATGCAGAAAACACAAAGGCAGGAACTGAAAGGATCACAAAATATATCAGCCCGGGTATTTCCAAACTGTGGACCTGATGCTGAGCATCTGCTAATCCCATTAACTGATTCAAGAAAATCTGTTTTCACCCACACAGCCATTCAGTTATGTTTCCTAGCTCTAGGGACCAAAATGTAGTGTTCAACTTTCTTCCTATAGCTGCACCTGCTCCAAATCCCTCTATCATGCTGGCTTGGTATTCATTCCCACAGGAGTTGATGGGGAATGAGTTAATGTGCCTAGAACAGGGATATGTTTGCAGGAGGATGGAGATTTCCTATTAAACAAGATGGAGAGGAACTGGTGTTGCTCTCAGCAAGGGCAATCAAAAAGGGAGTGACATCCTTGATCCCTGAGGGCTCATATTGTCACAACAAGGCTCAGTAGTAAAAAAGCTTCTACTCCCTATGGCACCAGCAGCTGAACAGTAAATATCACACACATTTCATCCTGTCCCTGCTGGGGCCCTCCTGTGGCGGTCTGGCTGACCCAGTTGATATAGTGTCTATTCTCACTCCTTGTTTCAGTAGCCCCACACTGCTGCTGTTTGGCATCTCTGGGTGGAATGAGCAGTGGCTGAGGCGAGAGGAGTAACCACCTGTCAGCTTCTTGCCTAGCCTCAGGTGAGCAGCAGGAATTGGCAGGAGCCTGCTAGCCCACCCAGCGGGAGCAACTAGTCCCTCTTTTATGCCAAAGCACCAGTATTAGCTCTCCCTTCTTAATGCCTAAGTAAGAAGATGGAATGGGATGAAAAAGTAGGAGCCCCACTGGACCAATCCCCATGTCCTGCGTGAAGGGGCATGCTATCAGCCAAGGCACTGGGAGGGGCAGAAGTGACTGAGGAGAACCCTAGACACCAGCTGTCCAAGTGTATGGAGGGGGGATGGCAAACAGCTGAAGCTTGTTAGTCTCCCTGGACCATACAAAAAGAAACGTATCCTAGGAGAAGGCTTTTGTAGCCAGAGTAGTAAAAACCTTCTCCTTCAGGGGGGATATATGCTACTAATGGATTATAACTTGGGGTTTTTTTCTTTCCCAAATAGGTTTTAAATTTGGAAAATAAACCTGCAAAGCCTGCATCCCTGGAGTATGCATATAAGCCTACTGGGCATTATGTTAGAGAAAAGACAGCTTCCAAAGGACTGTAGCTTGCAGACTAGCTGCAACCTCTATTCCACTTTGTTCTCCTTTGCTGTGGGGAGGAAAACAAGTTGCTAGGAGGCAAGTAAGTATGGGATGGGAAAGAGTAAAAGTTGCTACTAACCTTCCTTGGGGTGAGTTGGAATCTCTTTTTAGCCATAATGAGTTCCTCTAAAACATCTACCACACCTGCTGGGAGTAGGGGGCAGAGAGGCTGTGTACTGCTATGCTCAGGAATAACTATTTAAAAGCCTAGTCATAAATTGGTGGCTAATATAGTTAATGAGAGGGGGATCCTCTTATTAATTGTAACCTCTATGGAGCAGAGACCATTACTTCAGTTGTGCTTGGCACTGTACTAAATTCTTATCACGGCTTTTAGCTGCTTCTGTAGTACAATCTACATATAAGATGAGACAATATGTGAGTAAAGCAAAAAGACAGAACGAAAAACAAAGTAACAGTGAGGCAGTTATGACTGGTGTAATAAGCAGTGGTCAATACACACTGCTGTCAAGTAACTTGTAGACATCGTTCTATGGGTGGAGGTACTCTAGGAAAAGATTTGAAGAAGGAACTGTAGAGATTCCTAGCTTGGACTCTGACTACCATTGCCTATCCTATACCTGTTTTGGGGGGATAACTAGAGAGTTTCTATCACCATCATTGTCAGTCAAGCACTTTTTACCAGCATCAAATTTCTTTGTTTAAAAAAGAACTCAAGGTGTGGCAAAAAAAAAATCATGCTAAATCAACATCTCCAGAGAGGCACTTTCACATTCACAAGTAAAAAGAGTGTAATGGCTTCAATTTGAAGCCAAGAGGAGACCACAAAATTACCACACTTTAATAATAAATGATTATTTCTGTTTAGCAGCAGGTGTGGACAGGGCAGCAGTGAGCTGCATAAAGTGCGCCATGTAAGGTCATTTGTGTTCATGTCAGAACTAAACCTCCACTCATTCGAGGAAGGGGTGGGGGTTACATTATTAGCATGGATAAAACTGTATTAGCTAATGGCAAAATCTGCAAGACAAAGATTGGATTCAATTTAAATCTGGAATTTAAAATGTGCAATAGTCCTTAGTGACCACCCAAGGAGGTGTCCTTTAACAACGGATTAAAGAACACTTTTCTGGAAACCTGGGAGAACCTACAAAGTGGATGTGGTTGTTAGTGCAGCTTTCAGTGTAGACAGGTGTTTCGTGTAAAACACTTTCTAAGTGAAATTCAACTTTCAGCACCTCTAGCTTTTAAAGCTTGCTTGCTTGCTTGCGATGACAGCTAGTGCTTGGTTTAGTTGGAACAATGGCTTGGTTTGTTTTGTTTTTTTAAATGCAGGCTGTTATAAATACTTATGTGCCTCTGTGAACAACAATTCCAGGCTGAAGTGAAGGGAGAGAAGTATGTGATCTATTTAAATACTTTTAACATGTTCATCATCAGAACACTGGGTGAACCAGATGCTCCTTTATGCAAAGGGAGAGAAGTGAGAGAGGCAGCTGGCAGAGCAGCCTTCACCTTCTAGAGCAAACAGTGCGGAACCCACAGGGTGAATAGCACCATGGGTGAGCGCTATGGGGGTCTACCCAGTCCCACTCGCCATACTCAAGATGGGCTCTAATTTGGATGACACCACCCAGGGCCAACCTCCTGTGCACTAGCTGGTTTCCGGAGTCTCCTGCAGGAGGATCAGAGTACCCTCTGCCCAAACATGGGAGAGTACCTGACACTTGAGGCCACTCACCTACAGCTCTCAGTGGGGCATACCTTCTTTGGGGGCATGGAAGCAAGCTCAGCAGGGGCCTCCTCTTGAAAGGAGGGAAGGAGCTGGGCCGTGACTTATGTGTATCACACTTACTTTTTGAGACAAGCACCCAGCCCTCATTGGTGATAACCAAAGGAGGGCTAGCAGGGGAAGGCTTGGCAGGTAAGGATGGCAGGATGGGGGCGAAAGAGAACATGACCAGGGAGAGGGAAGGCCTTCCTCTAAGGGGGAGGAGGGGCTCTCCCTTGCCCATCATCACACATGCACCCCTCAAGGACCCTGCCTAGATGGCTATCGAAGGCTGGGTCTGCCTGCTCAGCCAGGCAGGACAAGGATTCCTCCTGATGCCCAAGGGGAGTTGGCAGATGTCAGCTTTAGATGGAGGAGGGGAGCTGGATGGGAAAGGTTGCCAACAGTGGTGGTGCTGCTGCTGTCCTGAGGCCCAGGAAGGCCCAGTGCCCCCTCTTTGCTGGCCCAAGGGGGACTACCTTTGGACATGCCTCGGTGCTTGCTAGGGGAAGCAAAGAGCCTTCCCCGGCAAATAATGTAGAAGACCCCTGATGGGCACCATGAACGACCCCTCCAAGCCGCATCGCTACCATGTGCCATTGCTGGTAGCTGGAGGTATCCTCTCAGCATGAAGATCAGCTGAAGGAGGGCAGGGTCCTCACAGCCCTGTGGCAGTAAGGTGCTATGAGAGACCAGCTTTCCCATGGCAGAGAGAAGAAGCAGAAGAGCAGTGTTAGGAAGGAAGGGTGGGACAGAGGGGAAAACCACCCGTAGGCCCAGATCCTCCAGAGTCTTAAGGGGGGGACAAAGACACCTTCCACTGAGGTGCCTTTCTCCACATCCACCTGGGCAGCAACCTCCACTGCCAGGGGGAAGATGGCCTCCAAGATGTCTGGGCAGGCCATCTCCACAGCTGCGAGCCCCGGTACTTGTGCCAATGCCCCACGTAGGTCTCAGTGTGGGGTAGGGCAGTCATGAAGGAAGAAGCAGTGGTGGGGGGAGGGGCTGTGGCAGATGGTATGGCAGGCCCAGCCATAGGCAGGTAGGTGAATGCCCCCGCAGCTGGAGGAGCTGTAACCCCGCAGCTGGTGGAAGGAATGGAAAAGGAGGGGCGTAGCCAGGGCAGCTGTTGTGGAAGGGGGCTTCCAGGCAGGGCCCTATCCAGTCCCTTTTTGCCAGCTGAGGTGGCCGCACAAGTGGTGGCAGCTGTGAAGTTCCCACTTGTACCTGCTATTGGTGTTATGAAGGCACTTGGGACCATGCGGGGGCCAAAACCTGAGGGGTACAGCAATGGTGATTGCCCCCCCTTAATTTGATCCTTCTTACCACCACCCCCCCCCCCCGCCAATAAAAGCAGCAGCCTCAGCGCTGGCTGTGTCAGGGTGTGCTGGGGGAGTGGGGGGAGCTAAGGCTCTTCTCCCCTGCAGTGGGGGCAAACACAAGCAGACACAGTCAAAATAATGGGGGAAGGAGAACCCAGGAGAGGAGGGGACCAACTCCTCTGGCTGGACAGGGAGTGGGGAACTCCACAAAGAAAAGGGGGCAGGGAAGATTAGCAGCGGAAGGAAGCAACGCATGGCAAAAGGAGAGGAACAAACTGAAGGGGGCAGAGCTGGGGACCGGCTCGGTGGAAGGGAACTGTGTGTGTGTGTGAGTGAATAATAAAGGGCGGGAAGGGGGAACGGCTCGGAAAGGGCGGGGTGGCCAGGTGGGGGAAAGGGCCCCCCTTCACCGGGGTGGGAGAGCCCGGGTGCTCGGCAGGCAGGGGGCTGCTATCCCCGCTCCCGCTGGCTGTAAGGAGCGGTGGGCGGATGAAGAGCTCCAGGCCTCCCCCCGACAGCAGCCGATCAGAGCAGCAGCCTCCGCCTCCTTCCTGAGCAGCCGCCGCCGCTTGCAGACTCAGCCCCCGTCCAGACTCAGAGCCGCGGCGGCCGCACTTTGCTCCCCTTGCCATCCAAAGGGGCTCCGCAGCCTAGACGAGCTCCCGGGAGCTGGCGGGAAGCAGAGGAGGACGCGGGTGTCCCGCAGCACAGGTGAGAGCCGGTTTGCTTTGAAGTGCAGCCAGCCCTGGCGTGAGAGGGGCTCCTGGTCTGGCTGGGGGGCGGTGGAGCGCGGGCGCTGGGCTCCTGGCTCCTTCTGCGCCCACATGGGCTGGCTTGCATGCCCCTCGGTTATACCTGCAGACGTGCAAGCCACTCGCCTCTGCAAACGGTCGGGTTCTTGTTTCTGCCTGCCTTCCGTTACTCATTGCGTGCCGGGAGATCAGTGCACGAGCAGCGTGGAGGGCGAAGTGCATTTGTGCACCGTTACCTTCGTGTGCCATTTACAACAAGAAATCCATAATGTTTCTAACACCGTTTGAACCCCTCCCCCGTTTATCTAGTAGGAGAGCGAGGGTGAGTGAAGGAGAAGACTCTAATTGAAGAGATTTTCCTTCCCACTTCTTGGTATCGGAGTCTTGCTGGCGAGCCTTTAATCTCCACCAAACCCCCTTGCTCTGAATCTAAACGAAAAGTTGCTGCTGCTTGGGAACGTGGTGGTCTCGAGCCTTCTCCGTCTATGCTGCTTATCTTGCGCTCTGTGTACTCGGAAGCAGGGCAGCCCGCTGTGCCTCCTGCAGGGACAATCCGCATTTCAGCTGTTGCATACAATAGCGGAGCCTGAGTGTGCTGCTGCCTCTCAGGGGCTATAAGAACTAGTTTAATACTGAGTTAATTCATCTCGCCCTTTCTCCCGTCTGTGTTCGGATTTCTGGCTAACTCCTCATGAAATGCAAAGGAAAATAAACTGCATGGGGGAAATTAAAATTTAGTCGTCTGTGTCTCTAATTTCTCTATAGATTGATGCCTGTATATTCGGGGGGAAAATACTTACAAATATAGTATTTGAAACATAGGAACTATCTTAAATTATTAAAACTGTAGCTCTAGTTGGCTTTTCACTGTTTGCTTTGTTGTATACTTGTTCAAACTAAGTGAAGTGTAAAATTTAGCTTAATTTCATTTTGGTCACAGCTTGGTTTTAGTTAGTTTCACGTTTTAATGTGCTCCTGCTCTAGCACAATAAACTAATGTTTAGATCCCAATCACAGCAGGAAAATGTGTGTTTAAAAATATTCTAATAAAAGCTTGTTTTTTAAAAACATGTTTTGGAAACATTATATATAGTTCTTAAGTTTTTGTATAGCTTGTTTTAATGAGTTTAAATTTGGGTCAGATTTGATCTGGTAAGGAAGTTTTGTTTCCCCCCTACATTGTTTTTGTGTTTGCGTGATATACACATACCATAGATATTTGTGTATACAGTGCAGATGGATTTTTGTAGGTCTCAGTGTGTGTGATTTCATATAAAAAATTTCATCTGAAGTGCAAGTAAATTTTGAGTCTTCACAATGGTAAATCATAATCTTTCATCTTAATTCTGTTTGTGAATCCTCCACTGATTTACAAAATCATCCCAAACAAATCAAATTGTTTGCATTATCATAGTGTTAAGAAGCTTCAGTCATGGATCAGACTCCATTGTGTTAGGTACTGTACAAACACAGAATAATGAGAGTCCCTGCCCAAAACAGCTTACAATGTAAATGGTATTCCTCCACACTATAAGTAGCTGGATTCCATTTAAGGTTCAGAATCATAATGAAATCTGCCTCCAACTTCATGTTCCTGTGGAGTTTCCTCTGAGAAAAGGAATTCAGGAATGCAGAAGTTAGGAACTATATGCAATGGCTGTTAGGTGCAAGTTTATAGTGGTCGAGGGCCTTACTGGATTGGGCATAACATGCCTTTCTATAGAGTATGAGTATCCTGTTTTGGGAGATGTTAAATATTCCTTGTATTCTTTCTCGGGTATATCCTTGTCTTGTTACACACTCTGATTTCTTAGAACTTTGAACTCTTCATAGTCTTATCCCGGTCATGCACTGGGAGTGGTAACCTGTTACAAAAAAATTACTTTAAAGAACAAGACTATTAGTTTAAAAGCGCTGTATCTCTTCACTTGGGAGGAAAAGAACTACAAGAAAATCTATTTTTGATCTTTGTAACCTGAATGGAGCCCAGGATCATTGGCAGCCTTGTTAAGAGTATGTACTTGGGAGGTTTCCAACCCAATATCCAGACCATGGAGGACTGGAAACATGGACAGCCATCCTTATGCTTATATTGGAACCTATAGCTATTTAAACCAAGTAGGTTCAAATACAAGCATATCTTAAGAAGCTTTTGTTGTTCACCCATCACTTGCCCCCTTATTGTTAAAAATAGAGAATAAGCAATGATGCAGCATGGAATAAGTAGTAGATGTTGAGCTGAATATCCAGATCTATTGACCCAGGTGGTAAAGTCGTTTTGTTCTCCAAAACAAGAATCACCACATATGTCACTGTTACATGTATATTGAGGGCTGAATTATGCGTCCCTCTGCATGGGTGTGTTAGAGAGGGAAGTGTAGGAAGTTGATTCTCCCTCCGTGGAGGTGTGGGGGAAATTGATGTTAACCTTGCTGTTGAAACTGACCCCATCCCATTCTGCGTCAAAATCTATGCACTGTATGCAACATATGCAAGAGCTGTAATGCAAGAGGCCTACAGGCCTGTATCCTGTAAGACCTGGCTTAAGATAAAGCATTTACGTGTGCTAGGCTGTGGCACTTGACCCAGATAATGGACTAGGCCAATCTCTAACTAGAAAAGAACCAAAAGTCCCTAGCTGTCCATTATAGGCACCGTCCACCCCGCAAAAGTCTGTAGTCAAAACACTGCCACAGTAAACCGCAGATCTTGATAAGATCTTAATAATAACACGGTGCGTCAGCACTGTGCTAGTTATGAAACTGCCCTTCCATTCATTCCTTTATAAAACTTTATTAATAATGCTTGAATTTGGACCTATAGAAGTCTGGTTTTATAGGGGTAGGGCAGAGAGAGACCAAGGTGGCACCCGCATGTGACCATCTCTGTCTCCTTCTATCTGCATGCTTGTATTCAATAAAGGACCTCAGACTGTTTGGACCAAACCAATGGTGTGACTCATTTTCCACAACATAGGGACTGGGTGTAATCTAGCTCTCCCTTCTGAGGGCTGAAGGACTGAGGTGGGTAGCACTAGTGACTTGAGGTGGGTATTGCTGGATGAGCGAGGCTAGGGCTGTGACTCCTTCACTCGTGGGCAGTGGGTATCCTAGTACAGGAGAGGCTGTGCCTTCTCGAACAGCCTGGTGCGGCCCTGCCCACGCTCCACCCCCAGATCCCCTGCTGCCTGCTTCCAGTTCCCTTCCTGCTCTTCTGTGGCAGAGAGGCTAGGGCAGGCAGGCTGGGGCCAGTGCTCGTAAGGCCCAGGGCAGGAGGTGCTGGGACTGGAGCCAAGTCATGCTGCCCACCCGGTGCTCCAGGGTTGGGGGTGCTGGGACCACTCTGCCTGCCTGGTGCTCCGGGGCTGGGGGCGCATGGGGATCCGGCGGCCATGGGGTGTGTATGTGTGCACGCTTGGCTCTGGTGAGGGATGGGGGCTAGCCTCCCCCAATGGCTCATTCACCTGCTTTCACTGTTTTCCAGGAATAGAAAGGTGCACTTTTCCCAGTAATGCCCTCATGCCCCTTCCAGGCCTCTGGAGTTAAGTCTCCTCATGGGCGAGTGTGCCGCTTTGCGATTCCTCAGCACAGAAAGCTCAGAGCTGCTCAGGATGCTGCTCCTGGCAGCTGAGAAGGCTGTGGGAGAACTCGAGGGGAATCACAGAACCATAGGCAGGCAGGCAGAGCGGGTTGTTTCAGGAGAGACTGCTGTGCTGAGCAGAGCCGGGGGCTGACCCTCCTGCTGCCTCAGGATAGGGTGGTCAGCCTGCTTTCTCCCCCAGACACCACTCTCCTCTCCTTCTCCCCTCCCCAGCTCCTTCAGCTGAAAAAGTGGAATGATGGGATTGAGAAACCTGCATAATGTGATGCTGTACCTGCTCCATGAGGCATTGCAAACCCTTCCCAAAGCACCCTGTGGCCAGTGTTGATGCACTCTGCCAACACAAGGAGTTAGTGTGGATGTGCAACAGCGGTTTTAATTAAAATGCTTTAGTTAAAGCGGCATAACTTTTGTTGACAAAACTTTGTAATGTAGACAAGGCCAAGGTGGGTGAGGTAATATCTTTTATAGGACCAAGTTCAGTTGGTGAGAGAGACAAGCTTTTGAGCTATACTGAGCTCTTCCTCAGGTCTCGGAAACTTAATCAGAGTGACACGGCTCAATACAAGCTGGAACAGATTGTTTAGCATAAGTAGTTAACACATGTTTCAAGGGCCATTTCACCTTGAACAGTCCCATTAACACCCCTCCAGTCATAAGGAGAAAAGGAAGAGGGCTGGGGAAGGAGCTCTGGGGTTTGTTAGTCAGTTACAGATTGTTGTAATAAACCATAAGTCCAGTGTCTCTATTCATAGAAGATTAGGGTTGGATGAGACCTCAGAGGGTCATCTAGTCCAACCCCCTGCTCAAAGCGGGACCAACCCCCAACTAAATCATCCCAGCCAGGGCTTTGTCAAGCTGGGCCTTCAAAACCTCTCAGGATGGAGATTCCACCGCCTCCCTAGGTAACCCACTCCAGTGCTTCACCACCCTCCTAGTGAAAAAGTTTTTCCTAATATCCAACCTAGACCTCCTTCACCCCAACTTGAGACCACTGCTTATTTAGTCCCTGATTTTTAGTATCTAGCAAAGTTATGAATTTAAGCTCCCATGCTCCTCTTTTGGAATGACTGGAGGGGTGTTAATAGGCCACTTCAGCTTATGCTAAACAGTCTGCTCCACTGTGTATTTAGCTGTGACACTCTGATTAAGGGCTTGTCTTCCTGTACAGTGCTACAGCAAAGCAGCTGCAGCGCTTTAGTGAAGATACTAGTATGCAGACTGGAGACCTTCTCCTGTCAGTGGAGTTAGCTACCACCTCTCGGGTAGGTGGATTATGTCGACAGGAGAAGCTCTGCTGTTGACATAGCACTGTCTACGTGGCGGGGGAGGGGCATGCCATATGACACTTTTCAGCCA